CACTGCACTCCAGGCTGGGCGACAGAGTGAGACTCCAACTCAAAAAAATAAAAATAAAAATAAAAAATCCAGTAGAGAGCACTGCTTTTTGAACTCACCAAGTAAGAGAAATGTCTGAGAAACATGAAAAAGAAAAAATAAGCAAATCTCGGTAATAGCTTGGATTGTGGCTGTCTAAGATAGCATGGATAGATATTCTTGGTGTTATTTTCTTGGCTGGGAGGATACAAAGTGCTATTAATGATATGAGAAAAAATTAAAATGGGAGGAATAGAAGAACCCATAGGACATCTACAGTTTAAGAGGAGAGGGTGGCCATTAGGGAAGCTACAGAGCGACACAGGTGCTGAAAAGAAAAGGATGCGTATAAGAGTAGTTATTTTCACAACAGTAATTTCTGCAGAATGACTAAAATTTAAAAAAAAAAAAGCGTTCTGAAGGATTTAAAGCAATAGTTGTTAGTAAAAAAACAAAGCAAAAACAAAACCAGAATTTAGTTACACATAGTGATGGAACTAGCTGAAAGGGTCAAATAATGTCAACTTTTGGCAATAGATACATTTCTTTTTTTAGTTGGAGTCTCACTCTGTCACCCAGGATGAGTGCAGTGGCACGCTAATGGACACTGAGTGCAGTGGCACGCTAATGGACACTGTAGCCTCGACCTGCTGGGTTCAGGCGATTCTTCTGCCTCAACTTTCCAAGTAGCTGGAACCACAGGCACGTGTCACAATGCCTGGCTAATTTTTGGATTTATTGTAGAGATGAGGTCTCGCCAAATTGCCCAGGCGGGTCTGGAACCCCTGGGGCTCAGGCAAACCTCTTGCCTCAGCCTCCCAAAGTGCTGGAATTATAGGCGGGAGCCACTGCGCCCGGCTGGTACATTTTGAAGGGAATATAAAGTTTAACAAGGCAACATATAGAGTTACTGGAGGCTGGGCATGGTGGCTCAAGCCTATAATCCCAGCACTTTGGGAGGCCAAGGGCTCACGGGTTCGAGAGCAGCCTGGGCAACTTGGAGAGACCTCATCTCTACAGTAATTTAAAAAATTAGCTGGGCATGGTGGCGTGCGCCTATAGTTCTGACGCGGAAGGATCACCTGAGCCCAGCAGGTCAACACTGGGGTGGCTGTGAGTGTGCCATGGCACTCCAGCCTGGGCAACAGAGTAAGACTCCAACTCAAAAAGAAAAAGGAAAAAAAAGAGGAGTCGCCAGGAGCAGTGACTTAAGCCTATAATCCCAGCACTTTGGGAGGACAGGTGAGAGGATTGCCTGAGTCCAGGGGTTCTAGATCAGCCTGGGCAACTTGGTGAGACCTTGTCTCTACAATAACTCACAAAAAAATTAGCCAGGCATGGTGACGCACACCTGTAGTTCTGGTCACTTGGAAAGCTGAGGCAGAAGATCGCCGGAGTCCAGCGGGTCGACACTGGGGTCGCCATGAATGTGCCACTGCACTGCAGCCTGGGCATGGAGTGAGACTCCAACACAAGAAAAAAAAAAGTTACTGGGTGTTTTGTATTTCACTACAGAGACTGTAAGCTAGCAAGCCTCAGGCTGATTCTGATGCGTTCAGCACGTAGTTTTCAAATGCAGAAAATCTCACATGAAATTTTAGACATAAGCCAAGCTCGGTGGCTCAGCCTGTAATCCCGCGCTTTGGGAGGCTGAGGTGAGTGGATTGCCTGAGCTCGCGGGTTCGAGACCCACCTGGGCAACTTGGCAAGACCTCATCTCTACAATAAATCAAAATGAGCCTGGCGTGGTAGCACGCGCCTGTGGTTCCAGCTACTCGGAAGGCTGAGGTGGAAGGATTGCCGGAGCCCAGCAGCTCGAGGTTGCGGTGGTCGGGAGCAGACGCTGCACTCCAGTCTGGGTGACAGAGTGAGACTCCAACTCAAAAAAATAAAAGAAATTTTAGAAATATAGCTTACCTTTAAAAATCAGGGCTCTGGCTTTTAAAGCGCTTCTTCAGCCTCTGGCCCCCTCTCCAATCTTGGAGAGGTGGATCCACCCTTTTCCTCTGATCTACCTTTTAAATAAACTTTTTCTCTCCTAAAAAAAAAAAATCACGGATCTGACAGCTTAAGTCCACATTCCCACATGGCCACAATGTGCTGAAGTTGAGCAGGCACGTGACCTCAAGACCGTCACACTCCTCACCACTCCTCAAGTGCTACCATCAGGTCAGGTCCAGTTAGACTCAGTCACTTGGAGGCCAGTAAGCTCCCAAATATGCAACCGGTGTCCTATAAGGGCTTCTGCCTACACTATCTCCATGAACCTTCACAGAAATCTTTGCCTCAGGCAGCGGTGAGTATTTCTAATACCCATTTTCCCAAGGAGAGACTTTCCCCAAGTTAATTTCTGAGTAAATTGGAGAATAGAGACTCTAATCAAGTCTCATGATTTCAAGCATGATTCCTCTTCTTGACTCTCTATTTCTTAATATATTGGGATGCCCATAACTTGGAACTAGTTATCACAATTCAATTTTTATTTTTAAGTCTTTTTTTTTTTTTTTTTGAGTTGGAGTCTCACACTGTCACCCAGACTGGAGTGCAGTGGCCGCTCCCGGCCACCGCAGCCTCGACCTGCTGGGCTTTGGCGCTCCTTCCGCCTCAGCCTTCCGAGTAGCTGGAACTACAGGCGCGCGCTACCACGCCCGGCTAATTTTTGATTTATTGTAGAGATGAGGTCTCGCCAAGTTGCCCAGTTAGGTCTCGAACCCGTGAACTCAGGCAATCCACTCACCTCGGCCTCCCAAAGTGCAGGGATTACAGGCTGAGCCACCGAGCCCGGCTATTTTTAAGTTTTAATAGCCTTAATACCTCAATGTAGGGGTGAATTTCTTAAACACAATAAAATGCATGAAATACACAGACAAATATTAATAAATTTCACTACATTCAAAGTTATAAATTTCCATATCACAGAATAAATTATAATCAAATAAGATAACACAGTATGAGAATATATTTGCAATACATACTATTAACACACACACAAAATGAAATTCTTTAAAGTTCCTGTGATAGAATCTAAATCAATTGAAGACCTAAAGCTGAAACTTATGGTTAAATATATACCCATATGTACAAAGACCACCTACCTGAAAGATTGCCTGCTCATGCCTATGTCTATTTCTATACTTATATACGCTCACGTACACGTGAAAGTCTAAAAAACGGAAAAGATACACTTTCACTTTATGAAAATACATTGCTACTTAGTGAAAACAAAACTTACAAAAACGTGTAGTTATATAATTATATTGAAAACTCACCCAACAAATTAATGCCATCATTTACAATGAGCTGTCCATGACGCAAGTAGTTCAAAATGGGTTCAAAGTACTCAGGACTTCGGTCAATTAAGAAAGCTCCTCTATGATCTTGCTTATTTCCCCAGACACCTGTGTTCCCATCATAATGAAGAAAGTCCCCCACAAACAAAAAAGATAGAAATTGATGAGAAAAAAATCATATAAAATACCTGTAACTCTTAACTCTTGTAAAAATTACTGATATCATTAAAAAGTGCAGGTCAGGAGTTATAAAGTAAAAACAGATACAAATAGGTCACATAAAATGTGAAAACTGTGTGTCACACTTACCTTTGTCCTTAAACATGTGGGCCAGCATACTGTCGGGTTCTTTGTTCACTAAAGTGCTCCTAAGAATTCAGGGAAAAAAATTGATTTCTCCATTTGTCTTTATAAACAAACATATTTAAGTCAAGAGTATACTCGATCCCAGCTGCTCTCTCAAAAAGATGCATGCTATAACCTGGTAGGAGTAATGCTGGGAAACAAAAACGTGCAGTAAGTTGCCATTTATCAAATCCCTTCTAATCTGGCACTTCCTTTGATTTAAGTATTGCTTTAGTTTCCTTTACTTTAAACTTACGTTTTTCTGATCCCTTTAATATAAGCAGTTATAGTCTACATATTTCAGTGGTGCTAATTTTTACTTGCATTGTGAATATATTAGTCAACATCTAAAAAGTATGTTCTAAAACACTGAATTCACGCTTTTTATGGACACCTGTGAACCATGTTTTACTTTTTTCCTCAAAAAGGGCTCTAAAAAATGGTTTCAGATCTCATAGTATATTTTGGCAGCATTTTTTTCCTTTCAGTTGCGTTCTCACTCCTTCACCCAGGATGGAGTGCAGTGACACCTCACAGCTCACTGCAGCCTCGCCCTCTAAGGCTCAGGCAAGATCCTCCAGTCTCAGCCTCCCAAGGAGCTGGGACTACAGGTGAGCACCACCACACCTGGCTAATTTTTTAATTTTTTGTAGAGACAAGGTCTTGCTTTGTTGCCTAGGCTAGTGCTGAACTCCTGGGCTCAAGCAATCTTCCCATTTTAGCCTCCCAAAGTGCTCGGATTACAGGCATAAGCCACAGTGCCTAATCTTATTTAGGCAGCATTTGAGTATCTTTCAAGGAAATCAGCAAATTGAAGGAAAGGACAAATGGTACATAGTATCCCTTTTGCGTTTTCTCTCTCTTTCTCTAATACACACAGACACACACCTACCGTGTGGTTGTAAAGTACCGCCCTCCAACATTTAATGTTAGCCAGTCTGTGTGGGATCCTGATAATCCTTCAGGTGGTTTAGAATCTGTCTGAGGATCTAGAGATGACATGTAGAAAATAACAAAAAAAATTAAGATTGAGGATTCTGGGAAGATGACAAAGGTTTATTTTTAAAAACCAAATACATATATAAAAGCACACCAGAGCTACTAGGACAGTAAAACCCCAAATCACAGACTGCATCTAAAACAATGCCAGCTGATGAGAAAATCCCACCAACACCAACAGCTAAAGAGCAGCATGCCCAGTGTCTGTGAAGGAAAAAAACCAGAAAGGAGCAACAGGGTTTGTGATGAACCCAAAATGCCACAGCAATGTGCAGATACTGACTTCACAGCTCAGCAAGTCTACTTGAGAACAGCGGACTGCAAGTGGAGAGGGTGATGAAAGTCGTTTGCAGTAACATCTGAAGGAGCTGGAAATGAACTGTCAAATCCAACCTGCCAAAACTCCCTTCTAAGGACCAAGTCCCATATGGATAAAGATGCTGGGAAAAGAATTCAAGTTGAACAGAGACAACAGAGCCAAAAAGAGAAGTCCAGATAAAAGTTAAGAAGGTCTAATGGACCAGAATATATCAGAAAGTGAATCCTGCAGTTTTTAATACTTCACAAAATTAGAAAAACTTTCCTAAGTCAACCCTCCCTTCTCAAGTTGAGGAAAACTAATTTCACACAAAAATGGCCAACAGAGAAGGACTGAGATCAAATATCATACACAAGTATTAAATAATAAGAAGAATTACATTCCTGTAGGCAATGAAAACATACCAGTAAAATCTATAATATTCTAGAACATGCTAATAGTAGTAAACAATACAACGTATAAAATAACAACACAAACCAGAAATAAAGTGAGGGAACTCAGGAGAAAATTAGAAAAGAAAAACCATTTTGAAAATGAAGACTAAACTAGAAGAAACACAAGAGTGAATGAAAATAACAAATGATGCTTTAAGGGAAACAAAAGGTGAAAAAGTAAAGTTGTAATAATCAAAAATAAATGAATAAAGAGATGAAAGGATTTAGCAGAGGTTCCAAATGTATATAAGTTTATTAGCTCTAACATACAACAGGAATCCTGCAAGGAAATCAAAGCAAGGGGGAAAAATAAATATGTAATTTCAATTATATATATTTAATTTTGGCAAAGTTAATTAAAAATATATATATTTAAAACTACATACTAAGAGAACTGACCATATACCTGAGAAAATAAACCCGGAATACCAAGAAATACTCTTCCTACTAAAATTACTGCACTTTAAAGAAAGAGAAACATCTTTTGAGTAAACTCGGAAAAAGAATCACTGAAGGAAGATCAATTTGTTGGCACCAACCCCTCATGTCAGAATAAAATACAGTAACATATTTAAGATATTCAAAGAAAAAAACGTGAACCAAGGATTTTCAACAGCTTCACTGAGGTATAACTAACATACAATAAACTATACACTGAAATTTAAAGTTTATAATCTGATAAGTTTTGACATATGACTTTGTGTCCAGCCAGACTGGCTTTCAAGTATAGAAGTCACAAACTGTAGCAACATACAAGATGTCAGAGAATACTGTTCTCATAGGTTCTTTGAGAGGAATCTGCTAGAGAACAGGTTTCAGACAACCTCTGGAGACAACAAAAGGGTTGGAGGTAAGCATGAAATACACCCGAAGAAGTAAAACTGAATGAGGGAGTTACAGGAGACAGTACAGTATACAACGGCTGTATAGGCTAACGATCTAGAAACTATCTGTTTTCTTGAGTAAGGGGAAAGGATTTAACATATGTAAAAAACACTTAACTGTTTAGTTTTAGTAATCACATCAGTAAGTCAAGTGCTGGGTTTGTTACTCTGACCCTTTTATGTGTGTTTTGTGTGGGATGAAGTAAATCAGCAATTATGTGACATCGTAATTCTATCAGCCCCGTGTCCCCAAAAATCAGGATTACTCACACGAAAGAAAGGAGACACAGATCTCAGATAGATAAGGTTAAGTAAAAATCTCCTATAATCCTGAATATAAACGGTATCTGTATGATGAATTTATGAGATACTTTACCTATCCATATCTTACATTATATATGACATATAAACTTTATATCCTATAATATATAACATATATAAATGCTATCCACTTTTCCAACTCTGCCCACTAGAAAGGCCTAGTAACCACGACAATCCCACAGCAAAGAGCCACCTTAGAACCAGATCTGTGTGAGAGCGGAAAAGGTTAAGATGAACACCTTGCTATTCTAGATCCCGAGAAAGCTATAAGAGACTAATGGGTTGTAGCAAAAGGACTTGAAGAGATTTCCCCTGGCCAAAAGTGAAGATCCTCTAAACACCAATAGATGCAGAGGATGAAAACATACCAAATATTTGTAAACCCAAGAGTTTACAGCAGTAAAACAAACCCAAACCTTAACTGATCACTTTTCATTGTGTTGGTTTGTATGCCGTGAGCCAATTAAGTGACCACTGCCTGCCGACCACGTTAGGCATAAAAGAAGACGAGGAAAAGGTTTCACTCAGTTTTCAGGTAAGAGACAGAGAAGAGTATGCACTTACTTCTAAATTGGCAGCTGCCTGAGCAACAATCCTAATCCGAATACAATCACTGTGACGCTTTCAACAATACTGAAACAAATATTCAGGGTGTGACTGTATGGGTCTAAATAAATCAAGCACTTGCTAAGGAATATTTATGTTATTTAAATTTTAGGCTTTTTCTTTTGAGATAAAGCTCTCTTCCAAATCAAGTGTGTGTGCCTGTGTGTGTGGCTGATGCCAAGTCATTTTGTAGTTGGTTTGATCACTGTGAAGGATTGTCAAACACTACTTATACAAGCAATATCTGCTTACAAATATGCGATACAAGACTTAGAGAAATTCTGACAATTACTATCAAGAAAAAATTTCAAAATAAAAGCTGTAGTTTCTAAAATCAAAACTACCCTATTATAGTTATATAACTCAAGTAAAAAATACACTTTAACACACACACTCAGTGAATAATCAAAGAGTGTGAAGACCTGAATACAGTCACAATATCCTTTTTTGTTTGTTTTTTTTAATGACACAGGTGTCTTGCTGTGTTGGCCCAGGCTGGTCTCAAACTGCCAATGATCAACTGTTCAATGATCCAACAGTTCAATGATCCAACTGTTCAATGATCCTCCTGCCTCAGCCTCTTGAATAACTGGGACTACAGGTGCATACCACCACTCCCAGCTAAGACCTTTTTAAGTGTTAAGCTTAATAACCCCCTTTAAAATTTTTTTGCCATTTCATCTTTTTTATTTTGGCTGACAAAATTGGGCTTTTAAGGAAGTCACTTACCAATAAATGGCTCTCCTTCACACACAAATAAAACATCATCATCCCTGGGGAAATCAAAATTTAAAAAGCCACCATGAAAATCTAGAAATCACATCAATTATCTGTTGATTATAGGAACTATTCCTTAGAATTATAAAGAAGATAGGTTTTTTGCTACCAATCCATACTTGCTTTATTTGCCCCCCGACTTAACTGTCTCTGGATTTAAGCTAAGAAATAAGATCCTGCAGTTTTGAAATGAAAAAAAAAAATCACACTATATAAATTATGTGAAGTCAGCTTTCTTATCAATTAAAGAATGTCCTATCATGCTCAAAGAATATGACTAAAGCCAGAGTCAACTTTTTCAAATTTTTTACCCCAAATAAATTGGGATCCTCTCTTAAATCATCAGCAGCTGTATGCTTTGGAAATGAAATAAATTTTCATATTAGGTATAGGAAAAATATAGTTGGAAATATACTTGCTATCAATGCTTACACACTACACACCCACCATACACTCAAATATAAATGATTGCACACAGCCCACAATTCTGGATTATCAGTGTATATATATTCTCCCTCCTCTGCCCCAATTCATCACACCATTAGTATGAATAAATGATAGGAACCAAAAACTAATAAACAGGCAGATATTTTACAGCTCAGAAGGCCTAAGTTATAACCTTCTGTTGTAAAAGTTTTTATTTCCTACAGGACATCATAGAAACACACTGAATTTTTTGAAGAAGCAGAGTCTGTGTTTGTTAAAGAGAAAGGTTGATGAGATCACCCAACAATGTGCCTTAATTATCCTTACAAAAGGTTTGAAAAACTAAGAAATCTTTCTAATTTATTTGTATTCAAAATGTAGCCTATAATATTTTCTACTTGTTCCCTATGCCAGTTAACTTTTTCAAATTAGTATAAAAACCCATTTTCTTTTCATTCATAAAAATCAACTACTAAGGTGTGTGACCTGGGTAAGTCACTCAATTTCACAGATGTTTAGTTTCCTGTCAAATGAAGGGGCTAGAACTGATTAGCTTCAAAAGCAGTATATTGAAAGGTCATCTGAATTTATACGGAGACTAAACTTGGTATATTACTGTAATTTAGAGCATCATTATCTTCACATCATTAATTAAAAAAAACCTCATGCTTTGTCAGTTATGGGATAACTCAGGCAAAGTAATTATAACCTAACTGGCATAATCAATACCCAATTTGTGTTCCCTTCATCATCTTCTTTGCTAGGTCTCTTCCTACTCCAAAATTCTCTGACCCTGGAGTAAAGTGAACTGCACTCTTGTTTTAAAGAGATAAATCTGCCTAGGATATTTAGAAAACCAACCAACAAGCCCGCTATTGTGGTGGATCACTGGTGAGATCTCCACTTAGAATTCTATAATATTTAGCAAGTTTTCACAAAAACTGTTCTCTATAATGCTTATGAAATTCAAAGCATTCCAAGGAAATGAATTTAATAATGAGCACATGCATATAAAACTAGAGATCAATTAGATTTTTAACATTATAAACTGCATGTCTTATGAGGTCCATCTCTAATACCACAAAGAAGAAATTCCTCATAGCCACAGAGGAACTATGCAGAAAGATTATCAGTACACTGGAATGTTCTAAGGGTTTTCTAGCTGATCAATACACCTTAAATCTAAATGATTTAAATTCCAAAGAGTAAATTCTAGGTAAACACTTGCCAAAACCCTATTCTTATTTATTTAACCACAGTGGTTAAACTACAGCTTAAGCAAAAAAGCATAGCACCAAGAAGCCAAGGCACACTGTTGACAGCTTATAAAAAGGTGAAGATTACCTGATCAAAGCAATATCATCAATCAGTCCACCTTTCCCATTATACACACTGGTGGCTTTTATGCCGAGTTTACTGCTGGCCACAGAAAGCAAATCAGATAAAGTTCCATATACAGCAACCACCTGTAAACACACCAGATTAATTTGAACAACTTATTTAATAAATTTCATCACCCACAAATTAAAAGCCATCACACTATAAACAGGACTAAAAAATAAGTATCACATAAGAGATTTCAAGAGGTTCTTGACAGTGTCCCTTTCTTTGCTATGACTCATGTATTCACTTGGTGCTTAATATTGCAGAACTCCAAAAATAATAAGAAATCATCTCTGACCAAAACCAATCTACAATCTCAACATATCTTAAATAGTGCTCCAGTTCTGAAGATGGACCTGCACTTGAATCTAGAGTCTGACATTTTCTAGTTGTCAGCTTGAGACAAATAACCTCCTTATGCTGACTGTTTTAACTAGAAATGAAGAAAACAGTTAGCACCTACCTCAGGTTGTTATGAGGATAAAATTAGTTCATGCATGATGAGAGCTTAGCAAAGTGCCCGAGACCTATTAAGTCCTCATTACATTGTCCTTATGTTATTTATTTGTGACAGGAATGGTTCATTTTCAGAAGAGAAATTATTTAGTGCTGTTTGTTATATTATTTACTCCATCAACTACTACAGAAGATAACTTCCCACCTGATTTATTATTCAATAACTATTTACTGTTATTTTATAAAAGCCAGATTTTAGCATCTAACATCATAAATACAGCAAATAGCTGGATGACAATGAACTGACCTGTCCTGCTTTGAATCAGGCATGGTCTGACAAACGTGCAACTGCTTAAGCAGCAGGCTGAGAATGTCTACATGTAAGGGAATGTTGTGTTCTGGTCAGAACTGTGACTGTGGATGGCTGAGCGAGATAGTAGCACCATCATCAGGACCTCTGAAAGTCATTAGAAAAAGTCAGTGAGGAGCTAAACATGAAGCATGGCCAGCTAAGGGACTTCCCAAGAATACTGCACAGAGAAGTCATATGACATTGTACTCTGTTCACCAGTGACTGGAGCAAAGCAGACACTTAATTCTTAGTTAATAAATAAAATAAATAGCATAGCATAAAGGGAGTTGCTCGCTGAAATAAGAGTGTGCAGTCTTTCAAGAGCAGAGTATGCGGATTCCAACTTCTTTCTCTAGGATCCACAGGACGAAGGCAAGAAAAGTGCTGCGAGCTGGGGCATTTTAGGGAAGGGTTGAAGGCAAGAACAATGGAGAGGGAGCTAGCTAGAGTACAAAAAATAATGCACCACCCAAGTATCCAGAACTGATGACTGGGAAAACAAAATATGATATATATACACAGTGGACTATCACTCAGCTATAACAAGCAATGACTTCTGACACGTGACAACATGGATGAAACTTGAAAACATTATGCTAAATGAAATCAGCCAAGCACATAAAAGTACAAATATTATACGATTCCACTTACATGAAGGTACCTAGAACAGGCAAATTCATAAAGACAAGGTAAAATAAAGGTTACCGGGGCAGAGGTGAGAATGGAGAGTTACTTCCTAAAAGGTACAGTTTCTGTTTAGGATGGTGACCGAATTCTAGAACTCAACAGTGATGGTGCTTACACACATTGTGAATATACTTGATGCCAATAAATTATACACTTAAAAATGGTTAAAATGATAATTTTGTTATCTATATTTTACCACAATAGAAACAAAAAAGGCAAAGTACTTGGTGTGGTGTCCTACAACCAGCAGGCATGCTATAAATAACTGAAACCTGAGCAAAATATGTTCCCCATACTTCCTGTCATCTTTCACCTCTGCAACAGAGTGTGGAATTACCTGCTATGGCATATGCACATGCCTGGGAGAAAGGAAAGAGAAACACAATACCTAGGGCAGCACATGAAGCAAATCTGGTTGTGTTGAGGCAAAGAGCATGAAGAGAGTAAAGAGAGAGAAGAAAGAAGCAAAAATGCAAAAGAGCAACAGACAGACCAAAGCAGAGGAAACACAACCTTGATTGTTGGAAAGTGCTCTGGGGGAGGGTAAGAAGCATCTCCTTTCCACATCCATGGTCTTGACATAGTGGCTATTATATACAAAGAATTTTCTAAATCCTTCTTTCACCTCTTTTCTCTGCTTCTTGTATATCTCGGATATACAAGATATTATCCCTCCCTTGCCCTGACATCAACTTTCTCCCTCTGCATTTCATTCATGTCTATCTATTGGCCACACCATAAAACATATACAGGTTTAATGTATCCGTCTATATTATGTTTCTGTAGAGCATAAGCTTTTATATGACTTGTTTTTCAGAATATATCAAATTAAGCTGTTGTCTACTTCCATATGATTGACTCGGTTTTCCCTGTGGGTCAGTCATCTTGTAATGGAAACAAAGGCCAACCATCATGTTCTAAAGGTGTGCTGCCCAATGTGGAAGCCACTAGCTACATGACGCCATTTAAGTTTTAATTATTAAAATTAAGTAAAAGTAGCCGGGCTCGGTGGCTCAGCCTGTAATCCCGCGCCTTTGGGAGGCTGAGGTGAGTGGATGGCCTGAGCCCGCTGGTTCGAGACCCGCCTGGGCAGCGAGACCTCATCTCTACAACAAATCAAAAAATCAACCGGGCGTGGGAGTGCATGCCTGTAATTCCGGCTACTTGGAAGGCTGAGGCAAAAGGATCACCGGAGCCCAGCAAGTCGAGGCTGCAGTGGCCGGGAGTAGCCACTGCACTCCAGTCTGGGTGACAGAGTGAGACTCCAACTCAAAAAAAAAAAAAAAATTAAGTAAAAGTTAAAATGCAGTTCATCAGTTACACTAGCCATACTTCAAGTGCTCAACTGCCACACTAATGATTACTATATTGAACAGTGCAGATATGGAGTATTTCCATCACCACATAAGTTCAACTGGATACCTCTGTTCTAAAGAGCAGAATAAAACAAAGAACAAAAACATCTATTTGAATTCTATTAGGCTTCCCCATGACATAGTAACCCAAAGAAACAAACTGATGGAGTTCAACTCAAGACCTGTTTGTTGTTTGTTCACAGAAGGCGAGGTTGTTGCCATCTTCCCTTACCTCCCTTGGAAATTTCACCATGTGATAGAAAAATCCCACATCCTATTAGGCAACGACTATTCTCAGGGCAATCAAAGCAAATAGGTGTTTCCTTGTAGGCTGCAAAACTACTAAGGAGCACAGTCCAGATTTAAATTGAACTCAACCTTTACTTTATTATCACTTAACTCAGTCCTAACACAGTAGCAAACACAATTTACCATATCAACAATGATCTTCCAATCTCACTTCCTCCGTGGACCCAAAAGTTTCACTAAAAAAATTTAATCTATAAAAAGTTAGTACTAATTCTGCAAGTATAGGTGAGGTGACCAACTATCCCTTGGTGAAGCGGATACAGAACACTAAAGAAGTATACCTCTGAGTGATGCCCTAATCCTGATATCAAGGAAATATCTGCTGCCAGTTCAAATGGAAGGATCTTCTTGGCTAAGTGATACCTTATCTGGCTAATGGTAGGCCCTTGACAAATATTTCTTGACTGCTAAGTGAGATTTTCATTGTTTTCAGAGTGTTGAACTAGGACACACTTTTTTGTGTGTGCGAATTCGTCATATTTATTTAAGTCTAAATCTCTTCCACTGACATTAAGTTGAGAAACAAAGTCTATGGTATAAATGCAATTCTAAAGTGATATTTACAAAACCACCGAAGAAAGGGGCTAACTCTGCATAATGGAATTATAGTTGACTTACTGTGAGTTTTTGTTTTATTTTGTTTTCCAAATTTGCTACAATGGACCTGTATTCCTTATGCAGTAAAGGGGAGAAGTCTTTTTATTTTAAGGTCTCCCTAGCTCCAGATACTAGTTTTACAAATAAAATTATCTTAGCAGTTAGCAATCCAGCAGTTGACAATTTCCTTGAAATGAAATAACCAAAGGGTGTTCAATTAGAGAAAACAGAATTAAAATTAATATGAAGAATCATATACTTCAATACATTTGAAAGTTTCCCTTCAATTGGGCCAATATACTTGTTTTTCATTTGGAGGGTCATTCTTGGCATTTGTTTTTCAACTAGAATCATTTAAGCATAGTAACACTACCAAATAAAAAGGAATTATATTGCAATACTAATACTTAAAATGTCTATAAGAATACAAGATGGAAGTAAGAATAAATAAGTAAAATCTCTGCATTTTATATAAATGAATTAGAAATCAGGTTAAATATATATCAACATACAAATGTTATCCACATTGAAAAGAGTTTTGAGTTACTCAGTATCACACAGACTGGCACATGTACTTACTTTTTTTATATAACAACTCATTTGGGGAAAAGCAGCAATGAAAATCTTATATATCACAGATATAAGCCCTAATTGGTCTATACTAAGTTTATTTAGTACTGAGCTAATACTGAGCCAAAGAGAGCCCAAGCCTTTATAAAACGATCATGCTTATAAAGATAATTTGCTTTGTGTTTGTTATCTCTACCATGTGGACCTGATGTTTCCATGTCACTGAGATAATCTACTTTAATAATTTAGGCACTAAGAATGAGAAGCATTTTCCAGAGTAAATCGAGAAGCACATCTAGTAAAGATTAAGATGATTATATTATACTACATTCAGACTTAGTCCTTTCTAAATTTCAGACCCCATGACGAGGGAAAGCTATCTACCCCCGGGAAATTAATGGTATACCATGCCTAGTAGGACTGACTCATTTTAATTTGCCTTTAAGTACCATTTTCAAATTGTAACATGTGTGACTTAAATCTAAAAATTAAAACCTGTGCATGTATTTAAAACATTTTTTTCTTAAATCTCCACATTTATTATATAATGTACAATCAATAAATACTTACTGAATTTATGCTAGCTGATTTACGCAACACCAATCACAATTAATAACCAAATGTGGAACTCAATTTAGCCTAATATATTTTAAAAATTAAAATGGCTTTACTCCTAAAAAAAAAAAAAAAAAAAAAAAGATGTCATAACTAACTCTAAGGAGAAGAAAGGAATTATTTACAATGGAAAATTCTGACAAT